ATCGCAGACGATTATGTTTTATCCATTGACCCTGTTTATTACGTATCTTTTATCAGTCGACAACAACACCAACCCGACCTTCCACCCCTCCCCTCTCTCGACCCCCTGGCTTTCATGTTTGTGCTGTCGAATTGCAAATCTACGACTTTTACATGTATGTTACGAAGGCTTTTCTGTTGATTTACCAAATCACTGTCTCGTCATTCATTTAATTTGTGTTGTAGTAAAATATGAAAAGATGATCAAAAACTTTAGACTATGACAAATGCGATTATCGTCTGGTGCGAAGAGCACAGGCAGCTTCAATTCTGCTGTGCTCTGTTTACGTCTGGTTATGTCACATGGGAAAGCTGTACTCATGCCATTTAAAGTGGGTCTAGATCTTAACTAATGTTAACCAAACATTTTTCCCTCTATTTAATTATTAATTCTCTCAGAGTTTTCCTTATTTTGATTTGAAGGTAACTTATTCAATACATAGTCAGTGAATGCATAACTCCCGTAACAAAGATAGACAGCGATCACTCAGTTGTAAGGTCACTCTATTTACTGCCAGGTTTGAACATATATGTTCTATAAACACTGCAAAAAGCTAAGTCCTTGTTAATTCCCAGATATCGGATGAACCTGCTGCGATTATTGGACCTTATTGGCGCCGGCGTCGAACGACAGGCTAGCACGGAATTCCCCCGAAGGCAAACTTGCTTTTACCCGTTTGCTCCTAAGTGGAGACTGACGGCACTGCGGCGTTTCCCAAGAACACAACGCGACAGCCCTGGCCGGTGCCGGACCTCAGTGGACCCCTCAAACCACTCAAAATGCAATTAGCACTTACAAAAAAACAATCATCGCCCCCCACCCCCTCCCCCCTCACAAATTTAACATGTTCTGTCAAGAATTAATTTTAAATCGATCTTACTCAGTAAAAATCTTTGGGAGTTTATGATATATGCAGTCTAGGGGACGGGGAATACTCCATTTATTCTGGTAAATAATTCTCCATTTCAGTGCCGGACTTCAAATCTACATCACATCTTTTTGCATCAACATTTTCCAGCAGTCGTAACTGGTCCCTGATTCCAATAACTGCACAGACTTTCTAAAATTTAACACTTTCATTCCATAGCACATATTGTTGAAATAGAAAGGAAAGGTTACTTAACGCAAATTTTGGGATCGATTCAACAATGCTTTGTGTCTCAAATGATGCGTTTTGAAAATTATAATGCACCGGACGCCGTACTGTCCCAAAACAAAAGATTACGATCATAATCTCTTGCCGAAAATGGATCTTTTTTTGTGTGTGTAATTTTCAAATTTACTGACCAGAAAATAATTTAAAAGAGTTATCTCAAGTACTCGGAAGCAGTCATATTCTAATTACTATTGCAACTTTCCCATAATTATTTTCACAATAGCTCCTGTTGTGAAAAATACAACAAAGCTATGCCTTGGGTAAAACTAGCTCTTAATCTATTAGTTTTCGTATGTTGAGTAAACAAGCAACAGGCCGTTCGTGAAAACCATCAATACAGAGAGTTAATGCACGGAAGCCGGTACGAGATAACTGTTCGTTAGACGAAAACAAAGCTTATTGCAAAACGTCAAATGCTAGCTCGAAATGCTTCTAAATAAACCGCAAATTAATCTAAATAAAGTACAAGTCATTGTCAGTGCATTAATATTCCGTTAGAAAGTAGAGTGTTTATAAAGGATGATCATTTTGGCTTGTGCCCAATTCCATCCGCCACTACTTTTCGTTTATTACGGTACAAGTAGTGTCAGATATTTACTCTGCAAGAATCGTCGCTTTATTGCCTGTTCCAACAACAAATGAATATCCGGTGAAAACAAGATCTTAGAGTTAAGATATTTCTAGTTATTTGACCTCTGACTGATTCTAAACCGAATTTATTTCATGTCATTCCCAAGCAATCAATAGCCTCGCGTGCTTGTCACTTTTCATCTCCAACTGTATTATTCCCCTAGTTATTTCCATGCATCGTTCTTGTATTGTTGGTTTTGCGAATTTACTGTCGAGTCACATGTTCCCCAAGCCTGTTCTCTTTATTTGCTCAGTCAGTCAACTGTCTGTCTAAGTTGGACGGACTAGGAATGGTTATCCGATCAGATTTAGACAGCTAATTCTTCTAAATCTAAGTTCGGATTTTAGGCTTTGGTCCTCTCATGGCCGAATTGTGGCTAAAAGTCTTGCTGATGTTCGACATAGTCTGTCATCACAATTATTACAAGAGATTATGATTATAATCTCCTGTCATTATTATTGATTCAAATTTGTTAAATTTAGTGCTGGATTATGCGAAGCACAAGTTACCCGTCTTTTACATCAGATTTGCCAACAAACGAGTAAATGACAGACGGATTACTGCTGGCTACTCGTCTAGAACTCGAATTTATAATTAGACGATTTAACTTAATTTATCATGGGATAATTCGTCTGCAGCAGTAACAGAAGACAAACGATAACAGTACAGGAATTAATAGCCAACACCGGGTATATATTCTTCTCACTTACATAAAAGCCAGATCGAGTAAGAAGGTGACCGGGTCCAAGTATGTTAGTTCGTTTTATGCATGTTTAACGTAAAAGAAGAAATTTTCCAGTTTTAGTTAAGTTCCACTTCGAAGGAAGTGAAGAACAGCCGTTCTGGTTGCTGTAAACACCCGTTAGTATTGAAATCGCATGTGCCAAAGAATTAACGGACATATTTCCTTTCCCCAGATCTTTAGGTGGATTATCCGACAAATTCTATTCTTACGGAATCTGGCCGGACTGAATGAAAAAGCAGTATTCAATTTTTAATCCTTAGAGGAGTTTGCTAAGTTAACATTTGTTCTGAAAAACACGACTGTATTATTTTCCCACCATGTTTAGATAGAATGTTCTGCATACAACCAATAACTTCTCGGGATCACGTTTAAAATGACGTCGAACTGTTCTTAGAGGCAAGTGGTATATTTTGTAGAGTTTTATATTTCTCTGAGGAATTCAAAAAAAGACTCGAATACCATTGTATAAGAAGGAGTTGAATCAAAGACAACGATATTATACGAAATTAAAACCAAGCTCTTTATTCTTATTTTTCGATCTGACGTACAGCTTGAAAGCTTTTACTAAAGCAACCTGTTCCCAACGGTCTAAGTAATTTGGAAGAACGACTGCGAAACAAGGTATTCTTGTTGTTCGGCAACAGCATCAGTTTCTCTCTCGGATTTTTATCAAATTTTGCAGGTAATCCTTCTTCTTCGCTCCGTTCACTGATGCCGGAGCACTCACGCATGTAATTTACAGATGCTCTGTTTGCTTTACTTCTTTCCGCTTTTAACTCTGATCGTTGCTTCGCGGGCATTTCTGAGCATAGCGTGTCTGTGCTTCTGGCACACAACAGATCCGGGTTTAACAAGTTTCCTCTTGCTTCAGACCAGCTCATTTGGAGATCGGCCATTGGTCTGGATAGAGAGGACAAAGTGCAATGCTTCCTGATGGGCGTTGGTAGACGTCCGTTTGAGTAACGGTTTTGAGAGCGGTCCTTTTTAACCAGATGAGGGTTCACATTGTCATCCATTTCTGCTGTCCAATCTATCTGCTCCGGTATAACACTAAGTTCAGCCGCGTCCAGAAATATTGACCTGAATCTGGGATCAACAAACTTGCGATCCAGGCGCTCCATCTGACGTTTGTTCTTCAAGGCACGTTTGAAAGCAAGGTAACCCATCGATACCGACGACATTGACTCAGAAATACAAGGTTTCTCCGCAGCGTTACGGAGTCTAGCAAGGTATTCACGCTCGATCTGGACTGACAAACGTGGTCCCCCTGCTTCGATGTTCGGGGATTGACCAAGACGGTAGGACCATTGACGCGCATAGGGGACAGGATCTCCCGAGTCATTTCGACTGTAATTCTGTACAAGTGCCGGCATCCTTTCCCCACAAGGCCATCTCATATTTGGCTCTGTGTGTCTGCGTCGGGTTGAAGAGGTTTCAGCCCTTCCTGGCGATCTTGGCTGTTCTACAAATTCGGTCAAATCAGTGTCATATTTGTCACCCACAGCATTTTGCACAATTTGTAGTGTGCCATCCTGATTCTCTCTGATCACGTCAAGCCGCGGTTTAAAAACACGATGGATTGACTTCAGCTCGTTCAATACTTTGTTTTTCTCGTTGTGACTTGATCTGATAATCTTGTGTTTTTCTCGCTCTATTTTGTCGCTGAATTCGTCCAAGCGCGCTTGCGATGCCCGGGCAGTTCGACGAAGGGAATCTGTGTTTCTGTGAATATTTCTTTTGTGCATACTCACAGTTTTCCACACTACTTCAGGCGGCCTTCTTTTCGTCTACTCGATCGTTGGCTTTTCCAGACTGCCATTCGTATTAGGCATACTGGACAGGTTTGCAAATAAAGAGTCGAGAGCACTCTGTGTTCAAGGACCCTATGGGCTGTTCCAGTTGCTGGTGTTCCACGATTCGTGATAACAAAGTGAACATGATATATGCTAAGATGTACTTAAGACTGCAGCAAAAACCTTCCCTTCAAAGTAGCTGCCCATTTGTTTATTTATGTCTGCCGTCTCTAGCTGCAATGATCACGCAACTCACTGATCGTCTACTACCACTCGAGTTTGTTTTCATACTTTGGGTCAAAGTCCCGAAGGGTGCTTATCTTTAGGAAGTCTTAAGTTATGTGCAGCAAATCTGACGCACAGCCGAAAGATTAAACGACATTTTTCCCTGGCTAAAGGGAAGGTGCCGCCATAAAGAGTTACTACTGAACAAAAGACCTTCCTCGGCAAAATCGCAGACGATTATGTTTTATCCATTGACCCTGTTTATTACGTATCTTTTATCAGTCGACAACAACACCAACCCGACCTTCCACCCCTCCCCTCTCTCGACCCCCTGGCTTTCATGTTTGTGCTGTCGAATTGCAAATCTACGACTTTTACATGTATGTTACGAAGGCTTTTCTGTTGATTTACCAAATCACTGTCTCGTCATTCATTTAATTTGTGTTGTAGTAAAATATGAAAAGATGATCAAAAACTTTAGACTATGACAAATGCGATTATCGTCTGGTGCGAAGAGCACAGGCAGCTTCAATTCTGCTGTGCTCTGTTTACGTCTGGTTATGTCACATGGGAAAGCTGTACTCATGCCATTTAAAGTGGGTCTAGATCTTAACTAATGTTAACCAAACATTTTTCCCTCTATTTAATTATTAATTCTCTCAGAGTTTTCCTTATTTTGATTTGAAGGTAACTTATTCAATACATAGTCAGTGAATGCATAACTCCCGTAACAAAGATAGACAGCGATCACTCAGTTGTAAGGTCACTCTATTTACTGCCAGGTTTGAACATATATGTTCTATAAACACTGCAAAAAGCTAAGTCCTTGTTAATTCCCAGATATCGGATGAACCTGCTGCGATTATTGGACCTTATTGGCGCCGGCGTCGAACGACAGGCTAGCACGGAATTCCCCCGAAGGCAAACTTGCTTTTACCCGTTTGCTCCTAAGTGGAGACTGACGGCACTGCGGCGTTTCCCAAGAACACAACGCGACAGCCCTGGCCGGTGCCGGACCTCAGTGGACCCCTCAAACCACTCAAAATGCAATTAGCACTTACAAAAAAACAATCATCGCCCCCCACCCCCTCCCCCCTCACAAATTTAACATGTTCTGTCAAGAATTAATTTTAAATCGATCTTACTCAGTAAAAATCTTTGGGAGTTTATGATATATGCAGTCTAGGGGACGGGGAATACTCCATTTATTCTGGTAAATAATTCTCCATTTCAGTGCCGGACTTCAAATCTACATCACATCTTTTTGCATCAACATTTTCCAGCAGTCGTAACTGGTCCCTGATTCCAATAACTGCACAGACTTTCTAAAATTTAACACTTTCATTCCATAGCACATATTGTTGAAATAGAAAGGAAAGGTTACTTAACGCAAATTTTGGGATCGATTCAACAATGCTTTGTGTCTCAAATGATGCGTTTTGAAAATTATAATGCACCGGACGCCGTACTGTCCCAAAACAAAAGATTACGATCATAATCTCTTGCCGAAAATGGATCTTTTTTTGTGTGTGTAATTTTCAAATTTACTGACCAGAAAATAATTTAAAAGAGTTATCTCAAGTACTCGGAAGCAGTCATATTCTAATTACTATTGCAACTTTCCCATAATTATTTTCACAATAGCTCCTGTTGTGAAAAATACAACAAAGCTATGCCTTGGGTAAAACTAGCTCTTAATCTATTAGTTTTCGTATGTTGAGTAAACAAGCAACAGGCCGTTCGTGAAAACCATCAATACAGAGAGTTAATGCACGGAAGCCGGTACGAGATAACTGTTCGTTAGACGAAAACAAAGCTTATTGCAAAACGTCAAATGCTAGCTCGAAATGCTTCTAAATAAACCGCAAATTAATCTAAATAAAGTACAAGTCATTGTCAGTGCATTAATATTCCGTTAGAAAGTAGAGTGTTTATAAAGGATGATCATTTTGGCTTGTGCCCAATTCCATCCGCCACTACTTTTCGTTTATTACGGTACAAGTAGTGTCAGATATTTACTCTGCAAGAATCGTCGCTTTATTGCCTGTTCCAACAACAAATGAATATCCGGTGAAAACAAGATCTTAGAGTTAAGATATTTCTAGTTATTTGACCTCTGACTGATTCTAAACCGAATTTATTTCATGTCATTCCCAAGCAATCAATAGCCTCGCGTGCTTGTCACTTTTCATCTCCAACTGTATTATTCCCCTAGTTATTTCCATGCATCGTTCTTGTATTGTTGGTTTTGCGAATTTACTGTCGAGTCACATGTTCCCCAAGCCTGTTCTCTTTATTTGCTCAGTCAGTCAACTGTCTGTCTAAGTTGGACGGACTAGGAATGGTTATCCGATCAGATTTAGACAGCTAATTCTTCTAAATCTAAGTTCGGATTTTAGGCTTTGGTCCTCTCATGGCCGAATTGTGGCTAAAAGTCTTGCTGATGTTCGACATAGTCTGTCATCACAATTATTACAAGAGATTATGATTATAATCTCCTGTCATTATTATTGATTCAAATTTGTTAAATTTAGTGCTGGATTATGCGAAGCACAAGTTACCCGTCTTTTACATCAGATTTGCCAACAAACGAGTAAATGACAGACGGATTACTGCTGGCTACTCGTCTAGAACTCGAATTTATAATTAGACGATTTAACTTAATTTATCATGGGATAATTCGTCTGCAGCAGTAACAGAAGACAAACGATAACAGTACAGGAATTAATAGCCAACACCGGGTATATATTCTTCTCACTTACATAAAAGCCAGATCGAGTAAGAAGGTGACCGGGTCCAAGTATGTTAGTTCGTTTTATGCATGTTTAACGTAAAAGAAGAAATTTTCCAGTTTTAGTTAAGTTCCACTTCGAAGGAAGTGAAGAACAGCCGTTCTGGTTGCTGTAAACACCCGTTAGTATTGAAATCGCATGTGCCAAAGAATTAACGGACATATTTCCTTTCCCCAGATCTTTAGGTGGATTATCCGACAAATTCTATTCTTACGGAATCTGGCCGGACTGAATGAAAAAGCAGTATTCAATTTTTAATCCTTAGAGGAGTTTGCTAAGTTAACATTTGTTCTGAAAAACACGACTGTATTATTTTCCCACCATGTTTAGATAGAATGTTCTGCATACAACCAATAACTTCTCGGGATCACGTTTAAAATGACGTCGAACTGTTCTTAGAGGCAAGTGGTATATTTTGTAGAGTTTTATATTTCTCTGAGGAATTCAAAAAAAGACTCGAATACCATTGTATAAGAAGGAGTTGAATCAAAGACAACGATATTATACGAAATTAAAACCAAGCTCTTTATTCTTATTTTTCGATCTGACGTACAGCTTGAAAGCTTTTACTAAAGCAACCTGTTCCCAACGGTCTAAGTAATTTGGAAGAACGACTGCGAAACAAGGTATTCTTGTTGTTCGGCAACAGCATCAGTTTCTCTCTCGGATTTTTATCAAATTTTGCAGGTAATCCTTCTTCTTCGCTCCGTTCACTGATGCCGGAGCACTCACGCATGTAATTTACAGATGCTCTGTTTGCTTTACTTCTTTCCGCTTTTAACTCTGATCGTTGCTTCGCGGGCATTTCTGAGCATAGCGTGTCTGTGCTTCTGGCACACAACAGATCCGGGTTTAACAAGTTTCCTCTTGCTTCAGACCAGCTCATTTGGAGATCGGCCATTGGTCTGGATAGAGAGGACAAAGTGCAATGCTTCCTGATGGGCGTTGGTAGACGTCCGTTTGAGTAACGGTTTTGAGAGCGGTCCTTTTTAACCAGATGAGGGTTCACATTGTCATCCATTTCTGCTGTCCAATCTATCTGCTCCGGTATAACACTAAGTTCAGCCGCGTCCAGAAATATTGACCTGAATCTGGGATCAACAAACTTGCGATCCAGGCGCTCCATCTGACGTTTGTTCTTCAAGGCACGTTTGAAAGCAAGGTAACCCATCGATACCGACGACATTGACTCAGAAATACAAGGTTTCTCCGCAGCGTTACGGAGTCTAGCAAGGTATTCACGCTCGATCTGGACTGACAAACGTGGTCCCCCTGCTTCGATGTTCGGGGATTGACCAAGACGGTAGGACCATTGACGCGCATAGGGGACAGGATCTCCCGAGTCATTTCGACTGTAATTCTGTACAAGTGCCGGCATCCTTTCCCCACAAGGCCATCTCATATTTGGCTCTGTGTGTCTGCGTCGGGTTGAAGAGGTTTCAGCCCTTCCTGGCGATCTTGGCTGTTCTACAAATTCGGTCAAATCAGTGTCATATTTGTCACCCACAGCATTTTGCACAATTTGTAGTGTGCCATCCTGATTCTCTCTGATCACGTCAAGCCGCGGTTTAAAAACACGATGGATTGACTTCAGCTCGTTCAATACTTTGTTTTTCTCGTTGTGACTTGATCTGATAATCTTGTGTTTTTCTCGCTCTATTTTGTCGCTGAATTCGTCCAAGCGCGCTTGCGATGCCCGGGCAGTTCGACGAAGGGAATCTGTGTTTCTGTGAATATTTCTTTTGTGCATACTCGCAGTTTTCCACACTACTTCAGGCGGCCTTCTTTTCGTCTACTCGGTCGTTGGCTTTTTCAGACTGCCATTCGTATTAGGCATACTGGACAGGTTTGCAAAGAAAGAGTCGAGAGCACTCTGTGTTCAAGGACCGTTTGGGCTGTTCCAGTTGCTGGTGTTCCACGATCGTGACAACAAAGTGAACATGATATTTGCTAAGATGTACTTAAAACTGCAGCAAAAACCTTCCCTCCAAAGTGGCTGCCCATTTGTTTATTTATGTCTGCCGTCTCTAGCTACAATGATCACGCAACTCACTGATTGTCTACTACCACTCGAGTTTGTTTTCATACCTTGGGTCAAAGTCCCGAAGGGTGCTTATCTTTAGGAAGTCTTAAGTTATGTGCAGCAAATCTGACGTAGAACCGAAGGATTAAACGAGATTTTTCCCTGGCTAAAGGGAAGGTGCCGCCATAAAGAGTTACTACCGAACAAAAGACCTTCCTCGGCAATCTTAACACATCGGCGAGGAAAGATTAAAGGTGCGTAGGATTTTGAGAATGAGCAACGATTCTTTGTTGAGAACCAATCTCCATTGGATGCATTCTTCGATTAAAATGTACACAACACAGCGATTCATGGAATGGCTAGGTGACAAACTATCGGGACAATCTTCTTGGTATACAATAGCAAAGGCATATATCGGAATTAAACTTGTTATTATAAACACGGAAAACCATAGGAGCCAAAAAAAACTCTCAATCGATTTCCTACTGGAAAGAAAACTTTATGAACAATAATAAAACAACAAATTTAAAGATGATGATGATGATGATTATTATTTAACAAGCACCGTTAAGTAATTTCAAGAGAATATCTCTCGGTAAAACGGTAAATTGTAAAGGTTTCTAAAGCACCTGTTAACTGGAAAGTGAAAATAATGACAAAATGCCATCCCTTATTTTAACGTATTCTTATTGCGCCAGTACGTCTCGTTAACACCAACCCTACTCTTCCACAGAAAATTCGATGCCGGGAAGATCGCTTGACTGGCTTCTTACGAAGTCTTAAGTTAGCAATTATGTCTTTTCCGGTTGATGAACGAAAATGCCTGGACCCTTCCCAGTCTTATACAAATACGTTGAACGCAACATATCTTTTTATCGTGTTTACAGTAAATGCACGCAACGTATGTCCATGGCCATGACAACATCTTTATCCGAAATCAATAAATGGCATAAAATTACTCTGTGATCAAATCGACTCATCGCCATGGAAATCACTGAAGCTCGATTCTGAGGACATTTATCATAAGATCAATCTAAGGAGCAACACAGCAACGATAAAACCGACCTTTGCACGATTGTTATGCTACAAGGAAGGAAAAAACCTCGTTCGTTCGAATTGCACGCGAAACTAAGTTAGATTTTTTTGTAACGCTATATTGCCGACATGCGCAGTCGACTCGTTCATAGTTCTTGCTAATTGCTTTCGGCACTCGCTATTCTCATGAAACAATGGTTTAAACTCAATTAGCTCTGAGTGCATACAAGTAGGACTTGTCTTGTAATCAATTAGTTTTACAAATAAACTAATTGCTTACGATAACCCTACGGAAGAAGGCTTGTACCTGGTGGAATCTGTGCAACTCATCCATTTGTCTCCAAACTGCAATGCAATCTAACCTTGTTCAAAGGACACGTTGGTCAGAAGAATTGGCCTAGAAAATTTTAAATGGAAAAGGCTCTTGAAAGCCCACTAAAAGCAAATTAAGCGAGAAAACTTGAGTGGTTGCACAAAGAAACGAAAACAAAACAAAACCAAGCAATGGATTGTAAACTCAAGAAGTACATGCAAATGTTGGTACTTTGGAAAACGTTCACTTCAGAACTGCAGCGAAAGCATGCACAAGAGAAGTCTTAACAGAAATACAGACTCGATTCGTATTGCACGGGCAACGCAAATGCACTTGGACGAGATAAGCGACAAGATAGAGCGAGAGAAACACAGGAATATCAAATCAAACCATCATGAGAAAATCAAAATATGGAACGAGCTGAAGTCGATTCATCCTGTATTTGAACCCCTTTATGCCATCAAGGAGAATCAACACAAGCTGGGAGGAAATAAGTCCCCAGTCTCAAAAGCTAGCACACAGCAAAATGTAGCTAATTGTTCGAGTGACAGCAAAAGGGAAAAAAATAGTGGTAGCTGCGTTCGTGAAACAGCCCAGACTCTTACGAAGGGCTGAAACCCAAAAAGAAACACTGGACTCGAGACGACGGCACGCAGAACCGAAAATACAACCAGTCCATACTTCTAGGAGTCGAGACTACTTACAAGATCCTCTGCTCTTTCGGCCAAAAGCACAAAGCTGGTCCTATTCGCCAACCACCACTGAGGAGCCAAAACAATCACCTTCGGCACCGCACAAGAGCGAGCGGGAGCACATTGGCAAAATTCGTGCTGCTGCCGAGGTGCCTCACGTTTCGGATTCTATGCCCTCGGTTACAATGGGTTATTTAGCTTTTAAAAGAGTTCTGAAGAACAAAAAGCAGTCGGGGAGTATGGAATGTAGGGTTGTTGATTCCAGGTTCCGGTTGATGTCCATGGATGAAGCCGAACTCAGTGCGAGCTCTCGACTTATAATGCCTAAGGAAACAATCTACCTGGAAGAAAAAGGAGAGGGTGTACATGGAATGTTTTCCTCGCAAACAAATCTTCATTTAGTTAGGAAAGATAATAAGCAAAAACCTGGTTTCAACAGGCGTCTTTCGACACGTGTCGGCAGCAAGCGGCAACTTGTTTCTTCCCTTTCCTGGCCAGCAGGTGAACTCCCGATGAGATCACCAGAGGACAGAAGAAGAAGCTTGCCAACTCCCGATCTGTTGCGTGCAAAAAGCAAAGTAGTACCGAGATCAAGGTCAGAAATGTCGGCAAAAGAACGGTCAGCACTGAAAGCTGAACGACTGAAAAGAGGTCGTCATCGAGGTCTAATCTACGAGAGCGCTCACGTGAAAGCGACGAAGAAGACGAATTTGGCTCATTTGATGAAACTTCCTGCACAGTGAAAATCCAGCAAATCAGACGTAAGAAAAGGCATACTCTAGGTTCCAAATTACTTAAGCCTCTAAGGACTGGATGTTTTAGTGAAAGCTTCCAGGCTGCCAAGCAGTGGGAAAAATAGCTTGAGGGCTTTGGTCAGCTCCCAATTTGCATTAAGGGCAGATTTAGAGCACCGCAAAAGAATTGGTACTGAATCGGACAGAGGCAGGGAAGATAATTATAACTTTGCATTTTGTTTTTGCGTTTTAGATGAAAGATCTTAACAAAGAAAGAAACAAACAACTATGAGAAACGAGGGGTTCCTCCAAAACAGTGTCCCATAACTCTGATAAAAGATGTAAAATGATTTAACCAGAGAATCGAAGCTAAAAAGACTATGATCAAATTGCACGTGTTTGTTTTTTAATAAAACAACACGAAATAATTATACATTGTATATGCATATTGGTACATTGTACTTGCAAGTACAATGTACCAATATTCTTCCACCAAATGCTCCGTATACAGCAAACGCCAACTTCGCGTCCTTGGATTTCATAGTTATCATGGGGCCATTGAACAACTGAATGGGATTATAAAAATTTGTATGCGCTGGCGATACAAAGAGTGCTTATCTCTGTTGAGCATGCAAGTTTTTATCGTAGGTTTTGATTTTAAATCGGTTGGGAGGTAAATCAAAGAAAAGGTAATTACAAAAGCGCTGGGACCGGCGAGTCGCGTGCTCTTTTATCAAAGTTTTTTGCTTTCCTCTTCAGGTGGCAATTACTCTTTAAAATTGGGTTGACCTACAATAGCTTTGTCTCTTTACTTCTCTTTTCCTTCAAGCTCCATATGGTGTTTGAAAATTCAGGGCAATTTGCAGTCGTAGCCCTCTGGCTTAAGGTACATATTGCTATTATGCTTAACGTTACTATTTTATTCTATCCATCTGTTATCCGTAGTTTGCGTAAACAAATTTGCAATATACAATTGGCCAGTCAGAAACCTTGTCTACTATTCTAACTGATCCTATGATATCAAGTTACTGACCTGATATGGGTATGATTTCATAGTCACTTTCAAGAGAAGAAATTTTTACTTCAGTTAAATTGAAAAGAGGATTTTAAAATAGAATATCAAGCTTGTTATTCAACATTGAACAACTGTTTTCGGGGCAGAGAAATTGTCAAAAGGTTCCCACCAACCTAAACTTGATCGCGCCGTATAACTGGAGAAAAAGCATGAACCCGAGCCAGGAAACGATTTCTGTGACGTAATGACTTTTGTTTCTCCTTGGCCAATCAGATTCCATGATAGAATGAAACTCGAGTGCTCCTCACAGCGAATACCTTGCGCAGGAGTTCTGGGGCTACTTGAGCTAAACTGTAATTGGCTTAAAATTCCTACGTCACAGAAATCGTTTCCTGGCTCGGGTTCGCGGACGTTATTTTTTGGCGGAACCAAGTGACAGCCGGAAATACGTCTGCGTTCGCAGGCTAATGTGCCAGCAACATAAATTTGAACCGAAACGAAAAATGTCTGAACGATTTATAAGAACTCAGTGTTTTTACGAATTACCCCCACAGCCTTAGAGAAATACAGCCCTGTTCTCATAGCATTAAAAAAAAGAAAGAACCCAGTCAGAGATACTTACAGTAGGAGTCATTTCCGTCCCCTCATGCGGTAATAGATTCTCGCCCATATCAACTTTCGTTTCTCTCGTAAGTTCTCGCTCGTTTAGAGATGCGCCACACTAGCGTTTTAGGTGCAGGGGTCGCAACCAATGCTGACCTACCTTTTTTAAGAAGCTACTATTAACCCTCCCCAAATCTACACACGTGTATTTCACTCGTGGAAAACTATCGATTTGCTCAGTGTTTGGGTTGGAGATTCTCGCCCATATCAACTTTCTATTCTCTCGTAACTTCTCGCGCGTTTAGAAATGCGTCACACTCGCGTTTTAGGAGCGG